TCCTTCTATTAACACTGAGCGAGGCAAACACAGTTCTTTCCTTTTCTCAACAGAAGCTGTGATGTTCTGTTCTCCCCACTCTTTTGTCTGCATTTGTTGGTCACCATTCTCTGTACCATATTGGTGGGGATTGTTCTCTTCAGCTTTTCTTCCCATATCTCTGATCACCCTGCCTCCTGTAGCTGTAATGGGTGTGCTTTCTTCAACCTATTTGCAATTTTTGTGTTCTCAGTTCTTGTCTTTGGGCTACTGGCATTGGCCATCACCCACCTGCTGACATTCAATTATGGCTTGTTGTTGGTTTTTGTTTCCTATTATTTATCTTTCCCTCTCATTCTTTTCTAGTGTTTCTGCTTATCCATTTCCTCTTAGTCATCTACTTATGCTGAAGTTTAATTTAACTAAAATCGAGAATTTTAGGGTTTTCTTTTTTGTTCCATCTCAGTTTCTTTTGCCATTCCATTGTCTGTTGCCAGGATTAATTTCCTCTTTTTATTTTCCTACGAATTTGGGTAGACCTTTAGTCTGTTTTTCAATTTCATATTTCCACTACTGATAAGGTCCACCACTTTCAGCTTCTTAATTTAATATGCAATCTTTCCTTTCTGTTGACACTACTTATTCTTTCTCTCCCTCCCTCTCTTTTTTATCTGGCTTGGATTATATTGCAATTCTTTGCTGGCCAGCTTGCCCTTATCTTATGTCTCTTGTTTCTGTCTTTCATTCCTTTTTTCATCTTACTGTTACAGACTGAAGTAGTGACCTTATTTCTTTCTCTGTCTTCACTGATTTCTTTAGACCTCTTGTATTCATTCAGTTCAGAGTTGTAATATTGCCTTTAAATATTAGACCCCTCATCTCTTATGCTCTCATTTGATTTACTGTTCATGCCCCACTTAGATATTTTACTCTCCAAGCTTTTAAAACAGTGATTTCTATGACTGTCATGTTTTCATTTCTTTGGTCCCCTTTGTATGTTCCACTTGTTGAAGATCAAACTATTTAGTCCCTTCCATTTACATTTGATCTTATTATTAGACTTTTAATTAGTCATCAGTTCTGTTAAAATTATATCCTTACATGCAGGACCATATTAAAAATTACACAGGCCTGCAAAATTGAGGGTCATAAGAACTTTATTTAAAAATATATGTTGGTCTTAATAGGAATTTGATGTTCTCAATCCAAAAATTACTTCAGATTTGATGTACACTTTTTCCCACAGATTTATATATTGTTATATGTGCCTGAATGAACTGACCCTGCAAAGAATTATCCTGCAGAGAGTAAGAAAGGGGTTAAAGCAGTGATTCTCAAACTTTTTACCCATGACTCCTTTTCATTTATTTGCGGATATTGCAGTGCTTCCTCCTGGATGCAGCATATGAATACAAATAGTTTGTTTAGTGTGCATATTGTTCTAACTCACCTACTGCCTTAATGCTGAGCTCTCATGCTCTCTATCTATCTTCACTTCCCTCATGCCCAGCAGCTCAGTCTGGGGTGACTGCTCTGTCTCAATGGTTTTCCAGGGACCCCTTGCTGATGGGGTGGACAAGCAAGCAGATTGTCCAAAAGCAACCCTGAAAACTCTTCCCAGTTGGAGACACACAAAGGAGGTTGGAGGGGCTTTTCAGCAGTCTCTTCTTCCTCCTTCCTTCTCCCCTCAGCCACGTAGAGCTGGCTGCAGCATGCCTCAAGCCAAGCGGAGCTTACTGGACTGCTTTTGGACAATCCCCTCCCTCACCCTGACCCCCCTGGTGGCCCAATATGGAGCAATCATTCTTTCTCAGTGGGACAAAGACTCTTTCCATGCTACTGGGTTATTTTTGCATGCAATTTTTAAAAAGCCCTTAAATGTTAGAAGGGTACGAATTCTGTTGAATTTCAGTATTTCTATCTGTACATGCCAGTGCCTTGTATTACATGCTGCTGCCAATTATGGTGGATTTTATTTATTTATTTATTTATTTATTTTGATGTTGAGGAGCCTAGTGAGCTAAGTTCTGGAACAAACTATCCTGGAGATCATGCAATGCACAGGCTCATAGGAACCTAAGTGATGCAAGAAGTGCATTCCCATTGGGAAACAGACTTACTGCCTTGTTGCAATTCTGCTGCTCCTAATGTATTGAGACAGTTTTATTGCAAATGGAAGGTGGTTTGAAAGAGAAATAGCTTTCTCCTGGTGTCAGTCATTCTACTTTCATTTCTCAGTGTGTTCTTGCAACATCCCCCCCCCCCAAAAAAAATCTGCAAGATCCATCTGACCAAAGTCAACAGTGGGAAACAACGGTGTGTAGAATGTCTCAAGTTCATAAAGCAAACCCCTATGAGGACACACATTCCACACTAAGAAACTGAACTGATGGACAAATAAAAATTATATTCCCACCATACAGTAAATTCTGCTATAACAAATATTTTTACAATGCCAGTTGGCAATTACATGATTAGTTAATAGAGAAATACTATTTGCAGAACACAAACTCTTAATTGGCTATAGCACGATTTTAGCATTCTCTGCATCTCAGCTGTTAAGTGACAAACTCACCTTCCCTCATTTTAGGCTGCATCCACACTGAAGAACTAATCCAGGTTGATACCACTTTAACTGCCATGGTTCAATACTGTGGATTCTGGGAATTGAAGTTTGTTGTGGTACCAGAGCTCTTTGATAGAGAAGGCTAAATGTCTCACAAAACTATAGTTCCTAGAATTCCATAGCACTGAGCCATGGCAGTTAAAGTGGTGTCAACCTGGATTATTTCTGCAGTGTGGATGCCACCTTAGCCATCCAGTTCTGTTAGCCATGTGGGGTTGCAAAGTGAGACACTGAAGGAAGGGATGGGAGCATTTGCAAGCCAGGGGTAAGATTTTAAGCCAGATCAGGAATGAGCAAAGTGGATGGAAGGAGGGAGTGGTGGGCATTTGAGAAGAATGAGATGTTAAACTGGGACAGGAGTGAATGAATGAGGGGTGAAGGAATGGGAGGGAGCATTTGCACAACATCTGACTGCCATAAATCCTGTCATTTTATAGAATTTTCTATAACATGGACTCTTTAAAAAACACAACTATCCTATTATAACAGTATTTAGTATACATATACAAAATGCCATAAAAGACTGTTTGGGTATTGCCAGTATAACATCAACACTAAATACTGGATGATAAGTATTAAGTAAGCCATCGTTATGACCTGGTATCAACACAGATAGTTACCTGGTTTCCCACAGTACAATATCCTGTCCAGAAATGTGTGCCCACTAATAAAATCAGGAAACTGAGTCTGCCACTTTTTTTTTTTTTAAAAAAAAAAGTCTTATCCAATGGGTAGGATTGACATCCAAGTTCACATAGTATAAACAGTTACTTTTTCAGTCAGTAGATATTCAGCAGCTGTTCAGTTTAATCCATGAAGCAGCTGGAGTTAAGGGCTAGCAGATCCCAGCAAATTAAAGAACTCAAAGAAGCTATGACAACTCTGCCCTCTCCTGACTAGTAAGATTTAAAACAAAGAGTGGAAGGGACAAAGTATTGTAAGGTAAGAGGGGAAGACGTTTGTGTAGTATCATTAATTGTGTTATGACTCTGGCCTTGTAGAAATCCTTTGCCTCCATAAAAACAATCCATTGCCTCTTTATGATTTGGTATATGTAATAAGGATCAATTCCCATAGATCCCCAGGCGCTCGTGACACTATGTATAAAAGAAACCAAATGGTTCTTGTTCCTAGAGTTAAAGCAATTTTTCTTGTTTTAATAAAAAGGCTTAAAAGATTGACCAGGACCTCAGAACAGATCTCTCCAGAAGCCCAGAAAAGATAATGTGTAGAAGAGAAGAAAAGAAAGAGCTTGACCATGCATGTATTTCTTCATTCCCTTCTGAAGGACCTGCTACTTTCCATGGAAGAATTCATCTCCAAGCTTAGAGGAAAATATATCTCACACTTTTTTAGAAGTCCATTTTATATTTATACCATAAAAGAAAGAATGATACTGCACTGTAGTAGTAAGATCTTTAAACAACTTTTTCCATTTCTGCAACTTTCCTTTTTCCTCCCTTGACACGAGAGTGAATGAGAATAGCTTTTACGCCTCATTTATTTACATCCCTAATGGGTGGGAGAGGGAATTCATTAAAACTATCTCTGGTCTGATAGCCTACAAATAAAATGTGATAAAACACCAAATATTTTCCAACTGCAATTCTACAGGAGCCACTAGGTTGCAGTGTTTACCTTCATGCTGAAAGGAAATTGGCCCATGGAGTACTTATTAAAATGGCTAATGCTATTATACTGGGGATTAGATTTATTCTAGCTTTTAAACCCACACACAAACATGCAGCATGATCATTTAGCTTTGCTAAGGGAAGAGGAACTCCTGGAAACAGAAGACTGAAAGCAGGAACCAGAGTGCCTTGGGGTATGCATTATGCACATTAAATGAGGTGCAAAAGGTTCAACCCCTAAGAGCTCTAGCTCAAGTAGGTCACTGGGTAAAATTTTCAGATCAGGGAGGAACTGTGAAGAAAAACCAACGGAAAAGAATAATGAGGTGCTGGAAAAATTCTCCAGCTCCACATTGTTTAAGAAACTAGGTGGAAGAACAACACAGAGGCAGGCATTCAGATTTAATCCTTTTACTTATGATAACCTGGAAGATAAAAGGACAACTGTAGGGATGTACAAACTCTGTGGGTTTCAAATTGCTTTAACTGGGTTTATCAGCCACATCCCATTTGCCATTCCAATAGCAATGTGTTTTGATGAGAACTCCAGATTGTGGCATGAACCATCCTGATGTGTGCTGTGTTTGTCTTATGTTGTTGCTGCTGCTGCTGCTGCTGCTGTTGTGTGCTGTCAATTTGTTACTGACTTATTGTGACCTTAAGGCAAATCTATCATAGGGTTTTCTTGGCATGCTTCTTCAGAGGGGGGTTGTCATTGCCATCTTCTGCGATTGAAAATATGTTACTTGCCCAGTGAGTTTCCATAGCCAAGCAGGGATTTGAACCCTACTCTCCAGAGTCATAGTCCAATGTTCAAACACTACACCACACTGATTCTCTCTACAATAGGAACATTCCCAAGTTTTGATGCCTAAGATTTCTAAATTTAGATCCAAGTCTGGGTTGGAATTTATGAATGTTCAAGGTGCAAAAGAAACCATTTGAGATTTTAGAGGTGACATTCCCCTGAATCTCCATTAGTCCCAACTAGAGTAAAGCCATGGAATTTACAGAAATTTACAGGGCATTCATGGTTGTGGCAGACATAAAAAACTCTGACTTAAGTTTAAGAATCTGATAAGTCTGTCCACAGAATTACATTCAAGGAAGGAGCCTCATAAAATAATTATGATGGTCCTGCTTTGGTTTTCATTAGTTTCTAAGGAGACCTGTCATCTATACTTGTGCATCTACAGCCAGGTGAAAGACAGAAGACTCTCTGCCCTTGTTTTATTCCTTGGAAAAATATGTTTCTGAAGCCCTTTTTCTGTTTTTATTGTAAAGCCAGGCACCAGCCATCTGAAGACCTTTTCTGAGGAGACAGCAGACAGACCGCAGATGCCTAAGTAAGACCCCATCCCAAATGAGACATAGATAAGCAAAACTACATGGATGCTATAGTATTGGTCAACTAATTATTATTATTATTTGTATACTGCCTCTCCCTGTTGAGGATCAAGGTGGGTAACAGCAAAGATTAAAA